CCCTACAGTTGGCTGATATACTAACTAAAGATAAGGCCGAACCTGCCGATATGATGAGAGCTACGATGACGAGTGGAGAATATCAATTAGCAGACGAGCCAGCAGTAATGGCAGCAGCAGCCCGGGAACGTATCCGTCGTCAGCTACTTTCGGCTCGGACCAAGCAGGATTCCAGCTGCACGAACACAAGTAGCGATCCCAAGGGCCACGGCCGCCATGGTGAAGTTCGAGAGTCAGCTGTCAGAGGACGAGGTGAGGAGCCTCTTCGAGAGCATACAAGTGGAACCAGTACGTCACTCCGGGACGACGTGCAAGGTGGTGACCAACCTCCGCACGCTCGGCGAGTGCGACGATCGCAACAACAGGACGAAGATCATACTGACGTGGAGCAAGGGAACCGGAAATATTGCGATCAGGACGGCGGCAGTGGTCGAGGACGCCGCGCTGACCCTCACGAGCACGTTGGACGCAGCGTACGCAGCCCTCCTGAAGGACAAGGAACCGCAGGTGCTGGACGGCATGAACGACGTGATCTCGAGTCTGAGGCTACCGCCAGCCCACGGGTACGAGGGTCCAGGTGCGTCCGATTCGGAGACGTGGAGTGTTATCTCTTCGAGGCTGCCGGACAGCCTTGAGTTCAGGACTGCAATCGAGAACCTGTGCGAGTGGGGGAACCAGGAGCTCCAGGAGTTCGAGGACCAGCGGCTGAAGTTCATCAAGATAATGATCAAAGAGTTCAAGGCCCCGTCGGACTACCTCCTCGAGACCGTGCCCGAAGGGGAGGAGGGCATGGACACGCAGAGCGAGGCCGGAGAGGCCGGAGCATATGTCGGCCGACAGCGGCCAGGCCGCTAGTCTCTTGAGCCGAGGAGCGATGAGATGTGCGAGGACTTCTGAGGCCGCCAGGGCCAACAGCCTCAATGACGCACGTTTTTGTTTTTGATCAGTGCTGATCGTAGTGACTGTGTGTAGTCACGCGCGGCCCTAGTGGGCCCCCTTTGAAGTATTGGAGGCCCAGCTGGGCCTGGATGTGCACTGTGCGCGTTGAGTCTCTGTCGCAGCATTTGGCTTGCCTCTGGTGAGGAAAGGTGGGGCGGGGGCTCCATTCTCGAAGCCATCTGCACCTACGAAGACGAAACTTACAGGGAGGGTGTATTGCAACATCGTTGGTGCGCTTTGGGTTTATACTGGTTCTCCTCCTCCTCTTCCTCCTCCGGTCCTCCTCCTCCTCCTCCTCCTCCTCCTCCTCCTCCTCCTCCTCCTTCAAGTGCCCGTATGAGGAATCAAAACCATGACTGTTACTTCAAAATTTTCTGTATTGCATGGAGCACGCTGGGTAGACTCGCCATGCCAAATGTGCTCAGCGGCGCATCTCGGGCAGGTAAGTGCGGTAACTTACAGCCCTCACAGCTCCGCCCGCGGTCGCGCCCAGGATATATTCTTGACGAGCTGCAAAACGTCACGGTGCTGACGGTCACGGGGGGGGCATAGGCATAGGGGGGGATGCATAGGCCCAAGGAGGAGGAGGAGGAGGAGGAGGCGGAGGAGGAAGAGGAGGAGGAGGAGGAAGAGGAGGAGGAGAAAGAAGGAGCTCGGGATCTTCGGCAGTGCTCGTCATTCTGGGGGTACACGGACGGGTGGAAGTCGGGGGCGACGAGGACCCAAAAACATCGTGGGATCGGCATCTGGTTCAACAAGCACTTCTTCCGCCCTTCTCATCTACGAGGTCTCGCTACCGCCCGAAGTGGGCTTCAAGGCAGGGTCCTGTGCGGTACGATCGAGAGAGGAACGGTACGAATAGCATGTGTTTCCATGTATTCTCCGCCCAGCACAAAAGACAAGGCTCAGCAAATCAAGTACATGAATTGCTCCGAGAACATGGTGAGATGGCTTGCGAGAACGCTGGAAGCATTGGGTGGCAGGTGGATTCCAGTTATTCCCATGGATCTGAATTCGATATTCTGCGAAAAGGTGGGCAAGGGGCCTCGTGGCTCAAAACCCCGTCGGGCGACACACAGGCTGATGAGGCGAACAGATGACTGGTGGAAGCGTTACAGGCGGGAGCTAAAGCTACATGTACGACCAAAGAGAGGTACACAGAGAGTCATGTGGAATATGCGAATGAGCTCAAGACTAGATTAGTGCAATAACGACGGCTACGTGAACCAGTGTCCTTGTCGTACGACGTCAACTGTGACAACCTGCAGCTCGAGCTCACAATCAGAATAACAACGAGATGCACATGGCTCAGACAGCACAAGCAGTAGTATTGGCAACGTGTTCAAGACGATAGAGCACTGGCTTTTGAGGAGTCGAGAAGAACAAGGACTTCCACGAGGTCCACAGGCAGGCCAGATTGATAGCACGCAGAAAAAGAGGACCCGGGCGCCGTATCTACAGACAGCTGACGACGAATGGAACGGCGAGTGAGTGGCCTACTAGGATGCAGCTGGAGGGCACGATGGGTGGGGTTTCGGCGCGGGTCGTCGAGATCGAAAGATTGGCACAGAAGATGCAGTACTTACCTGAGAGCTACGAGACGGTGACCTTCGAGGAGATCGAGGAGGACATGAACGCATTCAAGAATCAAGTATGGAGTCTCAGACTTTGGCGAGTCGCATCTCGAGGCAAAATCAGCGCAGAATTTGTACGAGCCGCAGTGTTCCCGAATTGGGTGAACAAAGGCAGGCAGATTGACAAGCATGGCGTGGGCTAGAAAATGGAGAAACAGTCAGCCAACCCAATCTTTTCCGCGCTATGTTCTGATGAAAGGAATACGCGACAGCGGAAGGTTATGGGTGTACCCGGACGCCTGCAAGATAGGCAAGGGCAATCACAAGGAGGGCGTCGAGGGCGAGAGGCTCATCATGCTTGTCTGCACCATCGCAATGGCCTACTACATTTCTCTGCCGGCGCATTGATCCAAACCTGAAATTGAATCATGGGTCTATGGATGTCTGCCGGGACGGAGGAGGAAAGCTGCCGTGGTGGTGCAGCAGGCGCACTCTTGGAGTAAGAGGAAAAAAGACCAGTCACACGTCAAGCGATTGCATGACGCTGCCGGCGCATTCTACAGCATCGACCACGACAGTCTGGAGTCAATCATGATGGCGGGCAGCTACCAGAATTGTATGATCACGGGACGCGTGGCTGAGATAACCATGGCTCATAATAGAAACGAGCAGGAAAAATGCTGTACGTCTGTAACCAAAACTCAATATATCTCGAGGCCAAGTCTCTGCGAGAAAGAATGCCTTGAAGGAAAGACGAACGTGTGTGTGTGTGGGATATTTGGGGCCGCGCAATCATTCCAGGTTCGCTCTCTGTGAAATCGAATACAGACTAGACACTTTCGCGCTCGCTCCGCAAACATCAAGCTACTACAACAATTTGAGTCTCGGATACGCACCCTAGAGTTCGGCACGGGCTTGACGGTGTAAGGTCCCAGCGACGCGATACGAGTGAAGGACTTGAAAGAGACGTACAATGAGTCCAGAAGATGGTCGACGGCAAGGCCAACACATACGGGCTCGGACCACCAGAATTGCAAAGTTCTGCCGCACTTCTGAACTGCTTTAGCGCCTGGCTCGAGAAGCCGGAAGGAGCTCTGGACCCAGTGAAGCACCTGAAGGAGGTGCCAGACGGGCTGCTTCTGATGATGCGCAAGTGCGATATGCCCACAGCCAGCACGTGGATCAAGGAGTGCGGGACGTCCAACACTCAATATGCGGCAATCTCGAGGATCACGGTCAAGGCGAGAGGCTCTGTCTTGCTGCTCGGGGCAACGCGAGGATAAGCCTCTTCTGGCGGAGCAGTGGGAGATGTTGAAGATCATCGGCGACGTGGAGGCAGAGCAGGAGGCAAAGGACAAGGACGCGGCTCGCGTCCTCCTCGCGTCCTCCGCTCTTCTCCTCGAGTCCGAGGTAGGCGTGGCAGCGGGAGGGGTAGCAACAATTGAGCAGGTGTTGTATCATCGTTTTTTGGGCCTCGGGTTTTAAAAGTTTTAACACCAGACATTGTCGGGCCCCCAGAGGCAAGCTTGTGCGTCAAGTTAGAGACCAGTAGACTCGTGCCGTGACCGTGGGACGGGAGCTGGGGCTGGGCTCCAGTCGGGCCTGTCCCCCTACAGGCGGATTTGGAGCGAAAAATAAAAAATTGCCAAGAAAACGTATTCAAAAAGAAATCAAAAATGGTCAACAAATCGTCCCCAGAATAATTTTGACTATGTTTGAATATTCCTCCTGTAGGGCGACAGGCCCGACTTAAGGCTAGGCGTGCCTCTGGGTGGTGGGAGAGGCCATGCCCCAAGCCGCACTGAGGTCGCCTAGCTCCCCCCTCGTCCCTCTGCCCGCGGGCCCGCCCCGCGTGGGGCGTGCCAGCGAAGCGCTGGCCGCCTTTCCACCGCTTCCGAGGCCCCCAACTTTAGTCGTCGGGCTCCGTGGTCCACTTTTCGTGTTCGGGAGTCTCGGGAGCGCGAGCACCCCTAGTGGAAGAGGTCTGGCGACAAGAGCCGAGGCCCAGAGCAAGCAGTTAGTGTGATATGGCATGTGGATGGAGCTCGAATGGGGAAGCCAGACAGACTTCTCCACCTCTTCTTCCTCCTCCTCCTCCTGCTCCTGCTCCTGCTCCTGCTCCTACCTATATTGTTCCTACTCCTACTCCTAATCCTTGTCCTCCATGTCACGCTGGAAAAGCCAAACCCAGAGATACCACGGGCCAGCACTAGAACTGCCCTTCTGAGGCCCTCGCCCAGCGTCTGCGGTTGCCAGTGCTGCTGCCACTGCTGCCACTGCTGCCACTGCTGCCACTGCTGTTACTGCTGCCACTGCTGCTGCCGCTGCTGCTGCCGCTGCTGCCACTGCTGCTGCTGCTGCTGCTGCTGCTGCCGCTGCCGCTGCCGCTGCCGCTGCTGCTGCTGCTGCTGCTGCTGCCGCTGCCGCTGCCGCTGCCGCTGCTGCTGCTGCTGCTGCTGCTGCCGCTGCTGCTGCTGCTGCCACTGC